TAGTAACAAACGATCGACCTAATACTTTTTTAATTGCATTTTTCGTAAGTCCTATTAATCTGTCCAACCATCCACCAAATCATGGGGCTCTATTTGGGATATTTTTTCATTCAGTTCTGCGATCCAACACTTTTTGTTGAATTGATGCGACTGCAGCTTTAAATTTATTAACGTTATCTGACATCATAATTCTTGGAAGTGAACGACGTGCCACAAATCTCCTAAAAGCTAACATAACCGACTCCTCTGTCAGATCCGGTACAATTTCAAGAAGCACTGCTCGTGTTGCTGCACATGTAAACAGGCAAATATAAGTTTTGCAGTCAATGTTACTTTGTCCTTTTGTACACAAAGCACCTGTAAAGTTAACAAAAAAGGGGTAATCGTCGTAAAGTCTATCTTTCGGAAGCGGCGGTGGCTCTGGTGCGCGGTAAGGTTTTACTGTTATTTTATTGCACTGTGAGCATTTTCTAAGGTGGTATTTTACACATTGACGAATTCTAGGGATCCAAAACTTCGAACGACGTAAAATGGTGTTTAGTTGTTAACAAAATTGGATACTTGGTATTATAATCTAATGGTGCGTTGTTTAGTCTTCCTCCGCATTGCAGTAATGTCGTCCATGTATAGTCTTAGTTGTCTAACGATAGCAATTTTCTGTTGTAATGATGGGTTCAAACTATCAATCTCGAGTTCGAAGGTCGTCCGTTGAACATTACGAATAAGTGTATTCTCGGCTTCTCCAATTTCTTGAATGCTGAGTATTCCAATCGTTCGCTCGCTTTTAGGGGTCTTCAGATTGCGAATAAATCTTAATACGTATGTTGTTATTCTAACCAATTTACTTAACGAGCTACACTTTTCAATTTGAATACAACTTGTCTTTGGTACATGTATCTCGACATCCATAGATTTCTCGGTTATCGTTGAAAATGTGTTATAGTATTCAACATTTCTTGTCCAGGTTTGCCATTCTGCTGTGTTGGCGATCCATTTGCGTCCCTTTATCCAAAGTTCATTATTTATCAGCTGTTTTGGCGTAATCCGCGGGTAGGATAATCTGCTAGGTTTTGTTCTGTCGGGCAATATCTCCCATCACTGTTGAGACGATTAGATACAAATGTAGGTAACATTTTTGTTGACGATATCCAACTCAACACTATTTGACTGTCACTTCAAAAATAATGTCTTCTGTGTTTCAATAAATCCAACTAAATAGTTCGCTAATCTGGCTCCTATCAACGCACCCATTAGTTCCAAACGTGGCAGAGTTATAGTTGTTACCGGAACGACTCTGTTTTTTGTAATGATCAGACTGGAAGTGTTCCCTTTGACTAGATAGGCACACGCGCCATATGCTTGTTGACTGGCGTCTGTAAATATATGGAGTGCAGTCTCCGGTTGCGTATCAGATTCAAGTGTTAATTGACGGAAACTTCTGTTTTTGTTGCTTCTTCTTTTTCAACAGCGATCGATTTTCAATCTTCTTTTAAAGTGGGAGTTAATAGTTCGTCCCAATTTACATTCTCTTTCCATAAATATAATCTTTGCATAAATAGTTTTGATGTCACAATAAATAGTGATATTAATCCTAGCGGAACAACGATTCTGGCGCAACAGTTCTCGTTTTGTTAATGGTATGTCATCATTTTTTGTTAAAGTAAGTTGATTATATATAATATTTTCAGATTTTGTGTTCCAGCGCATTCCTAGTATTTTAACTGTCTGATCCTCGTCTCCTGCCTTTTCCTGTATTACAATATTTTGTAAGTTTTCATTGTTAGAATTCCATGATCTCTGTTATCTGCTCTTTGGTCGGGTTGTTGTCTCTTTGACACATTCTCAATTTTATTCTTTGCAGTTCTGTGGATGTGTTAGATGGGTTTTCTCTAAAATGTGTCATCAATGTAGCACTCAAAATAAACGTTGAACAGATTGCACCAAAAAGTACTACTTTAAACCTGTAAGCTATCAATCGACTGTTCAGATTGTTGGGGTTCTGTAACCAAAAGAATCTCGTTACATCTCTGTCATTTACGTCCAATTCTATGTGCAAAAATGCTTTCTCTATATCAGCTGACACTGCACATTTCTCCATTCTAAAGCGTGTCCAAATTGTAGTAAGGTCGTTCATCAAAGGCGGATAATTTGCCAAACAATCGTTAAGACTTGCACTGTTAGAATTTGCTTTACAGCTACATTTATATACTATTCGTATAAGTGTGATCGTTGAATCCTTCTGAACAGCATGATGCGGAATATAATGAATTTAATTTCCAGAAATTGTCTCATTGTGTACCTTTTCTATGAAACCTCTCTGTTCTTGGTCAGATATAATATATTCATACATATTTTGTACATTCTGAACATATTTTTGTCTTTTGAAATACGACGTATTACATTTTCTGTTCTTCTTTTGACGGTCTCTTTATTTGTTGAAAACTCCGGGCAGTTTGTTTTGTTTTGTTTTGTAATGGACGATTCAGCAAAAGTTTCCATGACATTCATCATTTGCGTATCAACTTTCTTTCTGTCAATTCCTAAAGACTTCTTTCTCCAAAATTTCTCTTTATCACAACTTTCCTGTTTATGCGACATCAAGACATTCGTCATTGAAGTTGACTTGTTATTTTCGTGACTGGTACTGGACCTGACAACAAAATCCGAGTATAGAACTTACAGCAGTCGGACCATTTCTTGCATTACTTTATCTTGCAATAAACTCCAATAAAAGTCTGCTCCAATTAGAAGATAAATCTCAGACGACTCTGCGTCTGTAACGGGGTGTTCTAGAGATAATCCACGTAAATAGTGTAGTTCCTGTGTGATTTTTCTACTCAGGCTCTGAAGCGGTGATGCTATGGTGGGTATTGTGTTTTAAGCAAAACTATTGAAGTTGCTTGACTTGCCGATGTGTACAATATTGAAGTTTCTGTTTTGTCCTTAATATCCGATAGAGACGTAGTTGTATTTTTCTTGCAAAATGATGCGTGATGTTTACGATGGCAAATTCTACAGTCGTATTTTGAGCGACAATCTGATACTTTGTATCTATGTAGAATATTGTAACTTTGTTAATGCTTGTGTTTGAATAGAATATTGAACTGTACATTAGTATGTTCTTTTTCTTATCAACTGCTTTCAGCAATGTTCAGATTTCCTCCGGGTCGAAAGGCGTATCACCGATGGCGTCCTCCAGTTCGTTGAAAACTTTCGTCACCGCTGCTCTGTTCCCCGCTCTCAAAGATTTTTAATCAACTTATGTCCATTCTCTCCGTTAGTCACGGCACCAATGTTAGGTTTTGAGTTGTGTACTTGGCGTTGTGATAAGGTTAGGTTGATTCTTAAGAAAATACTACTGTACAGTTCAATATTCTATTCAAACATAAGCATAAACATAGTTACAATATTCTACACTCGTTTGACTTACTTGATTGATGTAGGTATAAACCTACAATTTAAAACAAAACAGATTTCATAAGCATTTCTTCTATTCAGTAGACCCCCAATTTTTTTTATTATAAAAATCGTTATTAAAAGGGCAATAACTCTAACAAGGAGTCATCGGACAATTTCAGGCATGTTGAACTTATTTGTTGGTGTTTTTTTGCTGTTCCTGTTATGGTTTCAAAAATTTCTCTATGTCTATTATATTTGTCAAGTTTATAGACAAAAATGAAAAAAATGGTAGAATCTGTAATTTAAGGGCAACAACTCCTATAAGAAGTCGTCTGACAGTTTTGACGTAAATGGACAGTAGGTAGATTCCAACATCTTGAATATGTTTTCCCCGTCAGATTTTCTCTATTCACAGCAGATTTCACGATAATAAACAAACTTAAATGATTTAGCCATGTCGGCCATATCCGCCATTTTGCTTGGAAGGCGGGATCATTTAACACATTTCTTAAACTAGATACCAAAGAGGTAGATTAAGTATAAACTTTTAAAAAAAATTGTAATACATAGAACATGAACTACATCACTACTACATGTATATCTAGTCACTGGAATTGAAATTTTCTCTTATTTGAGAACACGTACTAATAAATCTTGTCACGTATACATTAACATTTTCAGGACTCACTGGATATCAACCAAATGCAGTGCATTCCATCAAAAAAATAAACTCGTCTTCAACCTGGACATTTTTACACGATCTGTCTTTTTCGACACTGAAATGTATCAATTTGACGTACATATGATTTCCTTTTGAAAATGTTTTTTAAATCTATATATATCATATTTCACGATAATAAACAAACTTAAATGATTTAGCCATGTCGGCCATATCCGCCATTTTGCTTGGAAGGCGGGATCATTTAACACATTTCTTAAACTAGATACCAAAGAGGTAGATTAAGTATAAACTTTTAAAAAAAATTGTAATACATAGAACATGAACTACATCACTACTACATGTATATCTAGTCACTGGAATTGAAATTTTCTCTTATTTGAGAACACGTACTAATAAATCTTGTCACGTATACATTAACATTTTCAGGACTCACTGGATATCAACCAAATGCAGTGCATTCCATCAAAAAAATAAACTCGTCTTCAACCTGGACATTTTTACACTATCTGTCTTTTTCGACACTGAAATGTATCAATTTGACGTACATATGATTTCCTTTTGAAAATGTTTTTTAAATCTATATATATCATATTTCATCAAGATATCTTAATAAACTACATATGTATCAAACCACTATGTTTGTAAACAAATTGATGCATTGATATTCAAAAAAAGGCAGCATATCGTCAATATTACACTGCCAGCAATAATTACTCAAAAAATGTAGTTAAAAGCCGATTTTATGATCAACAAAACATCCTTCGTGTGCTTTATGAATTCTTCAATATGTTTTACAATTGAATAACATATTTCTTTATAATTATTTGTATTATCTCAGCTACTCAAATGGACTTTCAAATTCACCATACATTTATTAATTGTAAAGTACTTGATTTGTTTTGATTTTTTATTATTACAGTATATAATTGGAACACAGCAACACACAACGGGTAATATGTCTACTGCGTCTAAAGAAAGACAAGCAAGACTATGCAATATTGTCAAGAAACTATTCCCAAAAGTAATGCAACACATATTTAAAGAATGTGTTAGTCCAAGAGGTTTGCAAGGGAAATATAAACAGAAATTCATAACTATTGATTTTACAGAGAATGAAATATCCTTAATGGAAAAACTTCCAAATATAGATGACTTCACCATCGAACTATGCTATAAAATATTGCGGTACGAAAATGTATTGCATGAACCGTCGTGTAAGTGGGGGAATGTTCCACACGATACAGAAGTTGAAATCGGTGATGATGTTCAGAGAATACTTAATGCAACAAATGACGTTATCAGTAGGAAGTCGGAGGAAATTTCAGAGCTTTATTACGGAGAATTTCACAACAGAACACAACAGGTGCTAAAGAGAGTGGATGAATATCTTTGTCAAGATACTAGTTCACAATTGTACCAAACGATTCACAGCTCTGATATTAATATATCTGATATGCTTCAAGAACTGACACTGATGCAAGCAGTCAATGGTATGCCTTATTGTAGAATAAATCTAGATGTAATTACTCCAGCGTTTTTTGAGTTGTTATATCTTGAACAATAGAAAATACAATGAACATACCAAATCAAACTGTTCATCGCTTTAGTCAAAATTTTATAAAGTTTTCAAAACTGCTGACGCTTAATACCATGAAGTTCAGGAGAAGGAAATAACTTAAATATATAAACGTAATATTTTCATGATTAACAGAATTCTTGATGCTACATATCTTTTTTGACAGAAATATGTTACAGAATAAACACATAAAGCATCTCCTTACGTTGCATTTGATTAGAAACATGTTAAACAAGACGTCAATGAGATCTTTACTCAAAAAAGTAACTTACACAAAAATATCTAGGTCACCAGATAGTTTTGAATAGATGAACCAATCGATAAAAATATTTTCTTTCAATTTTCTCTCACCATAAATCCGGTTCACATGAATGTGAACAGTTTTCTGCATAAATTAATCAAATTTGAATTTCAAAGGTATATTTTTTTTTAAATATAATATCGTTACATTTGAATTACGATACTGACATAATTATATGGCATTCAGTGATCGTTTATGGCAAGCTTATCAACTTTCGAGTGTTGTGCCGACGTTTACCGGATCGTGACATTGATAAACGATCCACACAGTACACGTGGAGCACATGACAAATAAGTGAATTGATAGAGCCGTGATATTTATTTTCAATATTTTCCATGCGGTCACATTTGTTATTAAACTTTTCCTTAACAGTTGTTAACTGATGTTTTGTATTAAATTTGTTCTGTAATAATTAGTTATTACTATTTACCTTTCAGTGCACGTTTGTATACACTCTTTTATCACGGTTTCCCCTCGCACTTGCGCTATGCGATGGCCGACGTTCTAATGAGAGGTCTCGTAGTTAAGTTTACTGCATACGGGAAAATATCGACGAATTAGTGTTCGGGAAGATGATACTTCAATACCAGTCGTTTATGAAGATTTTGATCATGTTGATAATATAAAGGATTTTATTTTACAAGAAAGTTCACTAACACTTGTGTCATAATAAAACTTAGCCATTCATATATTTTAACCATATTCTAACGATTTTTACCATTTGACCTATTTATAGATCTTAACTTGCTGATAATTTGTTTCGTTTAAGGCTGCCCTCTATGTATTATAATTTTCAACATAATGGATAATAAAAGAAACAAAATTATAATAACAATCGTCGTTTCGGAGGATTAACTCACAGAATAAGTTCTCTGACGATTTCTGATTTCTGATATTTCACTTCTTTGTAGATTTTGTCAAGTTGATCATTTTTGTTATATACAGATTCTACCCGTATGTTATCTTTTCAAGATAATGAGGAAAAAACTATTAATGGTTTACATTTGTTTATGTATGGCACCTATTCTTATAAGGAGTCGTCTGACAATTTTGATATGTTGATTTTGTCAATCAAACCATTTTGTTCTGATATTTTTTTTTAGATTTAACTGATTTAATTAATCATGGTTATTGGTGTTTACGTTTTATTTTACAGATGCAACCATAAATATGGCATCACTAGACAAGAACAGATGTGCAAAGTGCAGCATGGTGGTCATGGAAGTATTTCCAATGATAATGCAAGAGTTAATGGCACATACCGGAACTCCAGGAAAAACCCTCTACAACGATATTATGAGGAATAATCCTTTCAGAAGAAACCTAAACAAAATTGAGCTTGATATGGTAGATACATTAATGACCGATGAATATACCAAAATTGATGTGAGTCTATCTTACAAAATGATTGTCAATTTTTTTCAGCTTTCTATACCGCCACCGTCTAGACAATGGGGGGCGAATCCGACTAACACAGAGATAGGAATAGGTGATGACATTGAACGCATAAGGCGGGAACGGAATACCTTTGTTCATAGAGTGAATGCTAATATATCGGAAGCTCTGTTTGACAATTTTTTCGTTACCTTTATCGAAATCGGAAAAAGAATAGATGCTTTCCTGAATAAACCCCCAAACAATGGATATGCACATGATGTCGAGCAATGCAAGACTTGTGTACTTGATCCTGAAGTTGAGAATAAACTACTCGATGCAATAGCAGATATTGAACAATTGAAAGGTATGTTTGGTTTTTTTAACGCCTTGATTTGTGTGCTCCTAAAAGTGTGTTGACCTAATCAACCTATTTGTTTCAGAGCATGACAATCAAAGTTATGCAAAAGCATTTAAAATAGTGTATTGATATAAAACATTGCCAACCTTCAAAACTTCGTCACTTGTATGATGCCCAGAATGGAAAGAATTAAAATAATGATTTTTATGAAAACAAATATTATAATCCAACTTATGTGGCAATTTAAGGTTTGGTAGGTCACTAAGATCTCTTAGTTTTTGGTTTCTAAATCTTTTTATTATGTGAATAAAAGCTGTCTTATACAGAAGTCAATTCTATATAAGTGAATACATAACGTTTGTGATACGATAACGGTTGTATTGATTTAATGAACATTTTGATTTGTTTTTTTAATCATAGTTCTCTTTTGTAGAAAAGTACAGGTTTGTTATTGGAAATCCAGGAAAAGAAATTCATATTTTTGTAGGAAAATCGACAGAAGCAGCAATTGAAAAAATTAGAGCAGAAGAAGGTGAAATTAAACATGATGTTTTATTGCTCTTAATCCAAATATATATTTAGTTTACCTCATTCTTCATACACAGCAAAAGTTAGTTTTTTCATTTGTGTATTAACGTGTAATCATTCAATTATTGAGTTCGAAAACAAGAACTTTATTATCATTTCTTCTCGGAACATTATTTTATTTTAATCAAAAAATCATTAATCACGAAATAGTTCATACTCTTCGTCTTTCCTTTGAGTTTTACAAAGTGTGATAGGAATTAGTAACTTGCTTCAGGCATGCTGTTACATTGCTGTTTTTGCTTAAACATTATAGTGTTATGTGTCAATAGCATGATGCAGGATTAGATCGACAAATACTAGTTCTAATTACATTATAATATTTCTTTTCAAATCCATTCATATCTTTTGTACGTGATGCTGCTGTAGGAAACTTTGCCGTGTTTATATCAAACTAAATCAAAATAAGAAAGATTAGGGGTCTAAATTAAAATTGATGGAATAAGATAATTTGACAAAATGTAATTCATATCATGTTTTTTGCAAAATTAGAGTAAAAAGTATAGATTCAGGATTTTTATCAAGCTGAGGATTGTGCAAAAAAAGTAAGATTTTGTAAAGGTTATACATGACAAACCCAACTATGGATCTTAAAAAGAAAACTATATGATATAACTTAAAGACAAACATGAAAAGATGGCTCTTATAACTTCTGAAAAAAAGAACTAAAATTGAGGTCACAAGACATGTTTACTTGCTTCAAAGCAAAATATGTATAATTTCAAACACATTCTTTAATAAATTTTACTTCATGAGTTATTTCCCCTTATAAGGCAACGTTTGAAAAAAATAAATCGGTCGTCAGTATTAGATAAAACACATTGTTTTCTTCATTTAGATGAAAAGAATTGCAAATGAATAAATTCATCTCTAAAAATGTGCACATTTTATTAAAGATCTAAAGGAGAGCTATACACAATTGAGAATAATCATTCATGAAGTAGACGATAGTGAAGAAGTAGTTCATCGTATAAATTCTCTAATAGACCTCAACCATATCAACAGTGAGAACATCTATTTCAAAGGAGTCGAGAAAGGCAGTATCATACTTTTTATTGATATTAAAAACAGAGTAGTTCTAGATGACGGCCTGTTCCAGAGTGAAGTCAGCACCTTCATCCAAAAACTTTTCAAATTTTGTAAATTGACATGCTATTTCCGTACACAAACATATGCAGTTATTGCAATTGCAGCAGGTAAATAAGCGTTATTAAGGTGGGATATTACTTAGAAACAATTAACTTGTTTACAATAGATAAATTTGTTTCGCGAATACATTCTGCTTAAGTCATGGTGATTTGCAACAACAAGGCAGATAGTCATATGACGTTCAGTTCAATTGTTTTGCTATGCATATGACGAGTTTAAATTGATCCTCGTATTTTTATTTTTCTGTGTATACCGAGATCTCGATTTAATGTAAAAATACTGTCAAATCGATTGTTCTTTTGATACCCCCCCCCCCCCTTGTTTTCCCATCCCCCTTGTATTCACTATAAATATTCAATTAAGGTGTATTGAGCAGGCAACTATTTTCATTGTTTTTACCCGTGTGATTTCTATCTTAGGTTAATCATGTTAATAGGAATTTTATTCTGAAAAGATAAAACTAAGGTTTTCACATGTTAAGATGGATTTCAATATACTTTCTGTCCTGTCGACCTTTATTGAACTGGTTTCTACAAATAACTATAAAGTTTATGGTTTAATGAATAATGTTTTTTTCAATGTTACAGAAGAGTTTGAAGAGCCAAGAATTAACCTGCCGGAAAAAGTCACAAGAAAATGCTTGATGGGTAACAAAGGACACGTGGTTGTTAATTTTGAAGTAAAAAATAAGATCTTCCACTCTCCTGACAGCTTAAACAGAACCTTAAAAGGGTTTTTTAATACCCTCCTTATGAAAGGGAATGGAAAGGACTTACTGGGGAAAACGGATGTATATGCAGAACTCGTTAAATCCGGTAAGAGAAATGTTAATGAATATTAAATTATAGTTTAAATGGTCAAAACGATTCCTTTCAAGCTATTTAAAGAAGCAGTTTTATCATTTAGGCAGAAATATGAATATCTGTTTTTTTTGGGGGGTTTTCCTTTTTTTTCATTTTTATCACCCCGGAGACGTGTTTATTATTCCGTATTAGTTTTACTCCTTGTTGAACCCTGTATGGTGATCAGTAGTTGTTCATATCCTTTTGCTGAAAGTTATTTCCTTGGCTTTCATACCACATCTCCATATTTTTAAACTAAAGTGATGGACAAACCTGGAGTTCGCATCCGGAGTTAATTACGATAGTTTACTGACGGGGGAACCCTTTCTGTGTCACTAATGACATCTGATGAAGTAAAAACGAACAACAATTATACGATTCTAACATTAATGAGTCATCTTTTTATTTTTATTTTTCTCAGACTAAAGATTGATAGTTTACTTAATATTAGTAAGCCTAATGCATTATTTATACTCTCGGGTGACATTAGAATAAATGAGTTTCACATCAGTTCATAAGACTTAAAAAAATAAATAAAACAAACATACGCCGATTTACCAATAGATGCGGTTAATGCCTCTGCAGCAAGATTATAAAAACGAAATGCACATGGATATTCGCAGGTTGTTCCCATGAAATGCCATAAAATGGCAAACCTTCTCAACATTATCTTCCAATTATACTATTCCTTATTCTTTGAACAGAAGAGTTTTTGATTTCCCTTTCTACTGACATTTCTTGAAAAATTAAAAACATTGTATATATTGTAACATGAACTTCATCTAAGTGGGTTTAAAATATAGGACAAACACAACTTGACTTTTTAGCAATTTTCGACTAATTTATCTATATTTAAAAAATAACGAAAGACAATTATTTAATATGTAAACATGGTTATGCAAAGGACACAGATCGTTCAATTCTAGTCAATATTTCGATGTTAACATCTCATAAATCAAAAAACAAAATCAGTGACACTTTGTTCTAGTTTTTGCCCAATGGGAAGTTTGTCTAATGTGTACTTCTTGTTTAATCATAAACAACAAAAGCATTTCAATTTGATAGACTGGTAAACATATATCGAATCTACTAACATCAGCATTTTTACCAAATTCTTCAGGAAAAGTTTTAAAAGTCCTTAATGATGGATTTTTATTTTACTTTGTTCGGATGAAAAACACCACCCACATTGATTTTGTGTTGATTGCTTAACGAAAATATTTTTTGTGTTTCTAGGTCGAAAACACATTTTCAAATAATACAGTAGGTATGTCTTGCATTATAAGTCTGGTAATTTTGAGTTTTTACAGCCACTTGTGTTGTACGTTTCTTCCCAGAGGTTATCACCAACCAAGTAGAAAACACTTTTTATAATATGTTTGTGCTATCATGAAATATTATTGAAATATCAATTTCCAGTAAATTTACTTTTAATAAAATGTTGAAATATTCAAAACACTAAGGGTTTCAAATATAGACTGGCTTAGCCGAATTTGGCACAACTTTTCTGAATTTTTGGTTTTGAATGCTGAAGTTTGTATTGGATTAGCTTTCCAACTTTTGTTTCGAGCTACTTCGTATTTGTTAAATATTTTAGAGTAATCTACAATCAATTTTCGTCTTGAGATTTTGTGAAAAGAATCCCTTACCATCATAAAAATCATTTATATCCTAGCGTCTAGATAATTTGTAGCCCACAACAAACTTGAAGTCACATTGAATACTCCACTGATCAGATTTTTTTAAATATTCAAATATATTTCTAACAATATTTAATTCGTGGAAATATCATCCAAGTAGCATATGATGCCGGTCATTTAAGTGCACAATTTACGTTAATGTTTTGTAAGAACACAAATCGAGGTTCTTTATATTTAACTTGTTTCGTTGTAATAACAATTATACAATTTATGGAAAATAACTTAGAGTTTATATTGCTGTAAAATCTTAATAAAGGAGATGTCGGATATATGTCAATGAGACAGCATTCCATCGGCACAATTAACTAAAACACATATCATAATTCCGTCAGATCAAAACTAAAAAATGTCAAATTGAAAAGTGTTTGCCTTCGTTTGAAGTAAACTTGAGAAAAAAATTGAGATGGATATTATATTATTGTCAATTGCATTTCTCTTTTGTAAAATTCCCCTTTTCCTCTAAGTTACTATGAGCAACTTTTGTTATAACGATATACTTATTTGGCATTAATTATCAACTTTAAACGTAAAAAAAATGTTACGGGATCTATATTCTTTTACAAAAATTATGGTAGTTATTTCAGTCATTTTAGTTTGATCTAATTTGAATTTTTTATTCGAGCACGACTATATGAAACATTGCCGCGTGGGTGTTTATTTTCATGCAGAACTAGTTCATTTTTTAAAATTAACTTGTCCCTCCCCTAATTTTAACTGAATGAATTAATAATTGGTTTATAATATCTTTGTAATAGTCTAATAAATCGAGATTACCCAAGATTAAACTGATCAACAGCAACACGTGATAATTTGAAGGTTATTATGTCAACATTAAACTGTAACAATGATGTATTAATTGATGAATGCTTGCTTAGCGTCCATTGGTAAAAATATTTTGGCATTGTCAGGAAGAGAACAAATCAACAATAAAGGTCCCTTAAAAGGGGTCGACAGGAATGGAGGGCGAGAATTTCGATTGATGGATTGCTGGTTGCTTAACGTCCAGTGGCAAATATTTCATGCATGTTCAGAATGAGAACTAATTAACAATTCATTCAATAAGTAGGTCTTGTAATAGAGCCACTAAAAATGAGGGTATAATGGATAAGGACAGAACTTTAGTCTTGCAACAGGCCACCTACGGACCCCTCAAAGAGTTGTTACAAAGGTTCTCAACGTGCAGATGGCGTGGCATTCTCTCTACACGAGGCATTGGATTTAAAGTACCCATTCTGACCGGAAGTGGCTGCGTACTCGTACATCCCGCAAAGCCAACGGACGCCCCACTTTGTCAAATGTTTTATTATCGGTCGGAAGAAGACCTGCAGTGGTCATATTTCTATTCCCCAGTCACTCTTGGGGACCGATAAATTTGGATTGCCAATGGAAAATGAGGGTATTTTGAAGACCCAAATGTTGCAAAACACTTGTCCTACCTCCATGATTGATTGTTAGTTGCTTAACGTCCAGTGGCAAATATTTCATGCATGTTCAGGACGAGAACAAGTTAACAATAAATACAAAAGGTAGGTCCTGTAATAGAGGCCGTCCGGGATGTAGGTCGGGGGAATTTGGACTGCCATGGAAAAATGAGGGTATATTGGATAAGGATAGAAATTTAACCTTGCAAAAGGCCACCAACGGACCCCTCAAAGAGTTGTTGCAAGGGTTCTTAACGTGCAAAGAACGTGGCACTCTCTTTACACGAGGCATCGAATTTAACGTCCCCATTCTGACCGGACGTGGCTGCAAATTTGTACATCCCGCACAGTCAAACGGACGCCCCACTTTAGCAAGGGTTTTACTGCCGGTCGGAGGAAGACCAATGATGACCATACTTCTATTCCCCAGTCACCCTTGGGGTGTTCCTTATGTCGTAACTACAATACCCTTCCCTTTTCACGAAGGTGACCTACCAAATTAGACTATTTACCGGATTTGTAATAACATAAGCTCAACGACGGGTGCCACATGTGATGCAGGATTTGCTTACCCTTTCGGAGCACCTGATATCATCCTCCGTTTTTGGTGGGGTTCGTGTTGCTTAGTCTTTAGTTTTCTATGTTGTGTCTGCTGTATTATAATTTGTCTGTTTGTCTTTTTATTTTTAGGCATGGCGTTGTCAGTTTATTTTCAATCTATGAGTTTGACGGTCCCTCTGGTATATTTCTTCCCTCTTCGATAGGAGCAGAAATGTAGATTTGCAACAGGCCACCTACGGACCCCTCAAACAGTTGTTAAAAGGCTTCTAAGTTGGTTTCAGATTTGTTTAATGAACTTCTGAGAACTCTTTGATATGCAACGAAAATAGTAAAACAAAATACATAACATACCACATATTGTCTACATTGAAAATAATACAGATAATTCACTTAGAATTCGTAATCCTAGCAATCATTTCTAATTATTAATGTTACACGAATGTATTCTAACGTCAAAATTTTGTGGATCAGACCTGTTTAAAGCATGCTCAGTTGTCTCTTTGTTATGTGTGTCGAAATATACCCGACACCTCTAATATCTATATTTTACAACAATCAAAACCCCGTGCTTATGTACAGCATTTGATCATTTGTTTACTCGTTGATTAAAGTCGGTAATCAGGTTTCTTTTTAGTGGAATGTATCAACCCTGATAAATCTCTTACTTTACTATTCATACTTAAATTTTAAACTTTAAAATATCCAACTCGTACGAAGTTTCCCTCCTTTTTTTTAAATGGGCTAGAGGGTGTAAGTTTCGTGCAAAGAAATTTGTTTTCAAAATATCATATTTTCTCTCCCAGTTATCTTATGATATCAACTCTGCACATTTATTATTCGTTGAAAAGAAACGTGTTGATGTGATTATAAAAAAATATTTGTAAAACAAATTTGTATAAACATTTACTAAAAGAACCTTTTATTTTAAGAATGACAAATGGTACATAGAGTAAGTTTAGACATCCCCATTTAGAGGCCCCTGACATACTGTAAATGCACAAAATGAATGTTATCGACAACCATTGAACACATGATCAAGTTAAATAGTTCGGTATAAGCAAAATAAAGTGCCAGGTATCCATATCCACGTTGTTTTGAACGTCAATCTATTGTAATATAATACGTAGAACAAGTGAAAGCTTAAAAAAGTTAGTCGACTACATCATCTGTTAAATACTGTGAAGGATTGCGATACTGGGAGTGTGTGTAATAATAATAATAATATTAATTAATAATAATAAGGTATAAACCATGATAAACATACTTTTTAACCAACAATATGAAATCAAACAGACCTAGAAAAATCCAATTGCACGTGGTCGCTTTCTATTTGATCATATAACGGGTCATATGACCGTCAGCAGTCTTTGGTGGTCATCTCGATGGTTAATCAGATGACCTCTAGATGATTGATTGATTGTTGGTTTCTTTACCTCCAGTGGAAAATGTTTTACGCATGTTCCGGAAGAGAACAACTTAATAATTAATACAATGGGAAGGTCCTCAATGGCTCCAATAGAGGTCGTCTGTAATGAAGGAGAAATTTGGACTATCACTGGATAGTTAGGGTAAATTGGATGTGGGCAGAGATTTTGCCTCGCAACCTGCCACAAACGGACCGCTCAAATAGTTGTTGCAAGGGTTCTTAACATGCTCTTCGGTCAGGTTTTTGTCTCTTTAACACATTCCCCATTTCCATTCTCAATTTTATAAAGAGTGTAACACTTTCTTAATCGAGGCATCGGATTTCACGTCCTCATTCTGACCGGACGTGACTGCGTACTTGTACATCCCGCAAAGCAAAACGGACGCTTGTAGTGGCCATATTTATATTTCCCAGTCAACCTTTGAGGTTGATGACGTCTAGACACAAAAAAAATAAACACACGAAAAGCAGATACATAATATGAAGTCCATGCATTGTTTATTGTTTATTTTAGACTTTTTGTAATTTGGATACACGTTTTAGTTTTTTTAGATCAAATATGAGAATTTGAGTGAAATCAGTGAACATGGTTTTAAAACAGATAATGCCTCTTCAAAGAATGCATTTATAAAAATATTTCAAATATCGTAAAGCCAAACAGTTCACAAAGTTCAATATTTTTATTAACAAAAGCAGCGTTTTTGTCTCCCAAATAATATCAGCTAAAGCATGATCGAAGTTTATAGTATAATTTAATGCTAACAAACAGTTTTATATTGTTAAGCTTCTTGGATCACTTGGTCCTACCTATTATGCAATTACCTAAATTGTAATTCAAACTAATTCGAGTTTTCTTGGTCCGACGTCGTTACAGGAGACAATGATAATCAATCATTGCCATTATAAACATTAGATATGGCAAGAACATTTTAACAAATCTTTTATTACAAGCTCTTTAATTATGAATGCAACATTTTTATTGACTTTTTCTGATATCCAAATTGTAAAAAAAATGCATTGTTTCTGAAAACCACAAGATAATTCGACGAATATTGATTGGTTTTATATTTTTGATAGATCAGTCGCATATTAAAAAAGAGCACAACTTAAGAACATATTTAATAGTCACCCTACAAAGTTTGTGACCCCGAGGAGGACTGGGAATATAAATATGGTCACCATTGGTCTTTCTCCGACCGGCAGTAGAACCCTCGCCAAACTGGAGCGTTCGTTTTGCTGTGTGGGATATACAAGTTCGCAGTCAAGTCCGGTCAGAATGGGAATTTTAAATCTGATGACTCGTGTTAAGAAAGACTTTTATCCCGGATTGCCTCTCTTACAGGATCTACCAATTGTATTTATTGTTAATTCGTTCTCGACCTTAATATCCATGAAATATTTGCCATTGTTCGTTAAGCAACCAACAATCAATCAATCTTCAAAGTGTGTGGACTGGTATGGTGGGCTTTAGGATTTTGACAGCATGTGACATGTGGTCAAAAGTTAAGCCTCTGAATAGGCCAACTACGGTTTTCGTAAAGCAATGGTGTAAGAATTTAACTGCAGGAAGATGGGCATTGTCCTACAAACATCTTCTTATTCAACCTCCCAATTTAGTTCCGACCTGGATGCATATACTAACATCCTGCGGAGCAAACTTGCCACGACAACACCTAACTCCTGTGAAAAATTAACAAAATATACAAAAGGTGCGTCCTGTATGTGGCCGCCCGGGATGCAGTCGGGGAAATATAGGCTTCCACTTGAAAATGAGGGTATATTGAATGGGGACAAAAAGTTGCCATGTAACAGGCCACCTACGGACCAATCTTAACGTGCAGAGAGTGTGGCATTTACTCTACACGAGGCTTCGAATGTAATGTCCCCATTCTGACCATACGTGACTGCGTACTTGTACATCCCATTCAGCCAACAGGGCGTTTTCTTTGGAAATATTTTTACTGCTGGTCGAAAGAAGACCTTTAGTGAACAAATTTCTACTCCCCAATCACCCTAGGGTTATTTACGACCAGTATCAAATGTTTCGTTTATTTACAAGACGAGAACAAACTAATAATACAATTAATGTGTAAGTACTGTGAAATGGTGGATAATAAAATATAAACCGCTCTTAAGCACTTTAATTTAACCAATAATTTGTTTAAATGATATAATCGAGTCTTTTTTTAATCAACATTTTTTGTATTTCAGAAAAAGAAAAAGGAAGCGCACAAACTCAAACATCTGAGGGTAAGTTGGATAGGCGACAGAAAAGACATGTAACATACTAATTGTTGTCCACTCAAAGAGAAATTTAGTCCTAGCAACATGATTTTAGATCAGTTATTATTGGCATTGAACTAGCTTAAGTTAACTGCGAGTATTCTCAGATTTGTATTTTGTGTCTTTAGTGTTTGCGTTAGGTTCGCCCATTTCAACTGATTTTGATAGTTTTTTTCTTATATATATTGTACTGTTACACAACTGTCCCAGGTTTGGAAGAGGATTAGACGCCAGCAAATATGTTTAATCCCGCCACGCTTGTATGTGCCTGTCGTTTGTTGCTGTTCATCATATTTTTTCTCTCTTTATTATTTCAGACATAAATCAGGCCGTTAGTTTTCTCGTTTAAATTGTTTTACATTTGTCATTTCGGGATCTTTTATAGCTCACTATACGGAATGGCTTTTGTTCATTGTTGAAGGCCTTACGGTAACCTACAGTTGTAAACTTCTATGACATGCGGTCTTTAGTCTCGTTGGCAATCATACCACATCTTTACAATGTCAAAATCAAAAGCTCGAACACATAAAACGAATGGAATACAACTGTCATATTTCAGACTTGGTTCAGGCATTTCCTTGTATAGAAAATGATGGATTAAAACTGGTTATATAGCTTGATAAACCTCTTGTATGACAGTCGCATATAATTACATTGTGTGAACAAAAAATACAGACATAATAGGAAACAAATGTCAAAGATAGGGGTACAGCAGTCCACATTGTGTTATAATCTTAATCAATATGAAAACCAACAAATATGTCAGCAAGGAAAAAACAAAAAGACAAAGCACGTAAAAATGAAAGACAAGAGTTCAAAAAACTACCATGGCAAAACGGCGGGATGTATAAGTACCGAGGCATGCAAAAAAGGATATTACTAAAATTGGACTAAACTGTGAGGGTTATTAATTAACAAAGATAAATAAAAGAAGACTATAACACGTAAATAAGGTGATAAACAACGTCAGTACATATAATCTACACTCCATGACCATCATGTATTATTTGTGAAGTAGGGGTAATCTACCTTTACCAATTAAATTTGTCGTTATGTTGATTCGGTAATTCATAAACCTATTCTTTTAATTTGAGCTCCTTGGGTGTTAACTTGAAAATGAGGTCAAAGAGCAGGGTCATGTTCTTAATTTTGACTTGCCTGTTTTATGATCTCCTTTGGCATTTCTAAAGATATATATAAAAGAACTAGTGCAAATTGTTTGCTTTATTGTGATGAAGATATGAAACATTTGGTCTGAATCATTCTAATGACATCTTACAGGAGTTATTGCCCCCGAAACGTTCTAATTGAAGGTTAATTGATTTTTACTTTAACTTTGTTCATGATAAAGCCATAGGATCTTTTGCCAAATGTTAGGAGACACATGCTCTTTAGTTAACCTGAAGTAGCCATTTTTTAACTTTTTCATCGAAAAGTTCGTAAAAACCATATTTTGTTTTTTATTAGGCATACATTATATTAATCATCCGGAAGTGACCTTCAATAAACCGGAAATGGCTTTTATCTTCATTTTTAAATGCAAAAGTATATAGAAACCATATATTTTGGAATCAGTGTAAAAACAGCTTTAATTTTAGACCACAATTGACATTTTCTTGACCGGACGTTGCAAAATTATCTCCTTTCTTCAGGCAAAAGAATATAAAAACTATATATTTTTAGAATGAGTGTGTATATAGCTATCACATGAGACTAGAAGTGACATATTCTAGACCGGAAGTAGCAAATAATCTTGCTTTTTCAGATAAGAGTATATGGAAACCTATATATTTTTTGAAACCGTATGAAAATACCTATGATTGGAAACCAATAGAAACTTTGAGTAAACCGAAAGTAGCTTCTTATCAATTGTTCAGAACATTGGTGTGCAAAGACCAATTGTTTTTTTTGGGGGGTTTGTTTTTTCTTCCGCCACTTTAAGTTACTGTTTTTGTTTTGTTTTGTTTGACAAGTTGTCGCTTTGATATATTTGGTATATGATATCAAACAGTTTATTGTCTTTTGAAACTAACACCGATTAACTGAAGAATTTTCCTTGTAAGAGTTATCTTCCCAAACACTGTTTTCCTTGTGATTGTTAATCCTTCGCAACCATATAAGAAACTAACATATTTATTTGACCTAATTGTTCGTTAAATCCTTAGGATGTCAAAAATAAGTATGGCCGCAGCGATACGGGGACTCCATATAATAGGTATTTCCCCTTATCTTTTGATATAAGTGATATGTACTTGTAATTAGTAAATCATAAGTGATGAGAACTAGGGTCTTCGGATATGAAAAACAGGGTCCACCAACAAGAAAATGAGGTCAATGTCAAAGGTCATGTTTTGAATTTCGATTTTCAAATATATAAAATATCGACAAAATATTTTTATTCTATTGTGTGTTACCACATGTCGCAACACGTATACTTTGGTTGAAAGGGTACGTTGACTTTAAATAAACTTAAAAGTCAACCTAGTTACCTGGTGTAAACGAAGCCATTTTCTGCACTGAAATAAGCTAGAACCATATATTTTTGGAGTAAGTGTGATGTAACCTGTCAGGTTTTAGAAAAAGTGATTATTTTCAAACCGGAAGTTGCAATTTATCATCCTTATTTCAAGCTAACGTATATAGAAACACTATATTTTTGGAATCAGTGTGACTTAAGCCATCATCTGAGACCAGAAGTAACATTTTCTAGACCGGAAGTAGCAAATTATATCCCTTAGTTCAGACAAAAGTATATAGAAACAATATATTTGTTTATAAAAAGTATGAAGAAACCTATGATTGGACATCAATAGTAACTTTGAGTAAACCGCAAATAGCTTCTAATCAATTATTTAGAAATTTAATGTTGAAAGGCCTTCACTTGTTCTCTGAACAATTGGTTTTAAATAATAATTATTATTATTCTTTTTCTTCCGCCAAATTCCAAAGTTAAAAGTATAAAAACAGTACGCTAATTATTGAAATGATCTGTGGTACCAAGTATCGGGTTATTAAAATCTCTCTTGTGGTTAGGGCACAAAATAAGTTAAATCATGTTTAACCCGCCTGTCCCAAAGCAGGAGCCTCTGGTCTTTGTTAGTCTTGTATGATTTTTAATTTTAGTTCATTTATATGTTTTGGAGTTTTGCAATGACTTTGGGTACCAATTCCCTTGATTAGGGTCATAAGGTCAAATTTCAAATTCTGGCTGATGATTTTTTGTGTTTTTGACCCTATTTTAACGGTTTTATGGGTTTTTAAAGCTTTTAAAGCATTCTTAGTCTGTACGAGTATAAATGCTTCAAAAGGAAAACTTTTCAATTGACCCAGAGATATTTTCTCTGACGCTCACATTTCTTGGATGTCAGAAAGATTTGTACCGATTTATCTATCCCGGTTAGGGGAGCTCCTCGCAAAATTTACCAACCATATATTTGCGAAAAAAAAGATATCATGGTACAATGTATGGTGTCCATAATTATAATATTAAATTTCCCCCTAATTCAAAATACTAAGTTTAAGTCGGGAAGAATATTTCATGAAACTAAAGAAAATATCACTGCAAACATCAGAAAAAGACTTGTTCTTAATATGCTGTTCATAAGTGATCGATTGACTGTTTGTTGTTTGCCTACGACCAGTGGCAAATGTTTCATTCATTTTCAAAACGAAAACAAATAAAAAATAAATAGGAAAGTACTGTACAATGGTGGAAAATAAAACAGAAGCACCTCCTCAGTAACGTCGGTAAACTGCATTTTGATTTAACAATTATTTGTTCAAATGATGATTTCGAGGCTTTTGTTTTATCTACTTCAGAAAATATGTCAACAAAAGAAGAAGCAAACGCCCAAGTTCAAACACCTGAGGGTAAGTTGGATAGGCGGGCAGAAACGTAGACTTTTAAAATTTAAAATAACAAAAATACTGAACTTCAAAGAAAATTGAAAACGGAAAGTCCTTTAACAAAAGGAAAAATCAAAAGCTTTAAAGAATGGAAAACAACTGTCATATTTCTGACTTGGTACAGGCATTTCCTTTTGTAGAAAATGATGGATTACACCTTGTTGTATAGCTAGTTAATCATCTCACTTGGTTGACAGTCGCATAGAATTCCATTATATTGTGTGACTAACTGTTTTCACTCAAAGAGAACTTGACACTCTGATTTATGCATCTAAGGCAACCAAACAGACGCTTTACTTTGAAAAGGTTGTTACCGCGGGTAGGAAGAAGTCTAGTTAATCATGCCTGTCTATCCCAAGTCACCCTTTTGGATTGTTAAGATATTATTGATATTGCATTTTATTTATGAGTAACTATCTAATATAGGATTTGTAAAGATTGATTGTATCCTTTTTTTGGTTAAAAAATTAGTGGCATTTTCAAAAAGAGCACAAATTAAGAACCATATGTATGGCCAACCATGAAAGTGGGTTGAATGGTATGAAAGGTTTTAAGATATTAACAGCTACAAAAGCAGGGCATGATATTTAGAATGAAAAATCTTTCTTCGCGATAGGCAACCTAAAGATCCCAAAAATCGATTGATTGATTGATTATTGGTTGCTTAACGTCGAGTGGCAAATATTTCATGCATATTCAGGACGAGAACAAATTAACAATAAATACAATAGGTAGGTTCTGTAATAGGGGCTTCCGGGATTAAGGTCGGAGAAATTTAGACACATGGGAAATGAAGGTATAGTGGATAGGGACAGAAATTTAGCATTGCAACAGGTCACCTACGGACCCCTCAAAGAGTTGTTGTAAGGGTTCTTAACGTGCAAAGAGCGTGGCACTCTCTTTACACGAGGCATCGGATTTAACGTCCCCATTCTGACCGGACGTGGCTGCAAATTTGTACATCCCGCACAGCTAAACGGACGCCCCACTTCGGCGAGGGTTTTACTGCCGGTCGGAGGAAGACCAATGGTGACCATACTTCTATTCCCCAGTCAACCTTGGGGGCCCCAAAAATCGATGTTGAAAGGGAAAGTCTGCAGAAATCGTGTCACCTAATTAAGGGTCTCAATTGTGATCTGACGTGGGTGTGTACCTATACATCCTGCAGATCAATAGAAACTGCGTCCTACCACAGGGTATGAGTGTGTGCATATTTATAATATTCATTAATATATCAAAACAATTTTAGTCAAAAAGAAAATTTGATAAAGCTAAAAATTAGACACCACAAACCGCAGACAAAGTCTTTTTGAGGGGTAAGCAGTTTATAAGTGATGGATTGATTGTGTGTTGTGTGCTTTACGACCAATGGCAAACTTTTCAATAGGCAAGTACTGTAAAGAGGGGATAAACAAAACAGAAGTCACACTTATTCTACTTTCCGTTGAAAGTAAGAAGAACACACAAAGAAATCGATATCATCTAAAAGAGTGCAGTTAAGAAAGTTTGGGATCATGAAAGATTCAATATAACATAGATATCGTGAAAAACAAAATATATGTAAAAAATATTTAATCCCTTTTTGCGTTAAAATGAAATATAGTGTTACCAGTTTTTTTGTTCAAATAATAAATTCGATGGTTCTTTCTCTATTTCAGAAACTATATCAACAAAAGAAGAAACATTCGCCCAGGCTAAAACACTTGTTGGTAAGTTGCATATGCGACAAAAATTTCACCTTGCAACATATAAAAATAAAGAGATATGGTATAATTGCCAATGAAACAATAACAATGATTTTTAACAACTACAGTATGTCAGGAGCCTCTCGATGGGATGTAGATTTAACAAATTCAAAATAAAGGACAGCTATAGGTTCACACAAATCTTTCATTTAAATTTCGCACCTAAAACGAAGTAAAATAACAAAAATACAGAACTGCAAAGAAAATTCAAAACGGAAAGTCCTTTATAGAAAGGCAAAATCAAAAGATCAAAGTTCTATAAGTCACCAAATAATATTAAAGAAGTCTACGAAGATTTATTGGTTTAACAAAATATCAATGACATATATTGAAAGAGTACAAAATAAGAACGTATTTAAACGTGACACCTCAAAGTGTGTAGACTGATATGTAGGGCCATGAGATTTTGACAGCCAAAAATTAATGGCCTCTAACATATGACTTTTGAAAAGCAGTATACTACTGTTGCCTTTATTTATATAGTCAAAAGTTAGTCCTTGAACTACGGCTTTCATAAAGCGATGTTGTAAAGGTTAAAATGCAGGAAGCTTGACATTGCCCTTCAAGAATCTTCTTATTCAACCTCCTTATTATATTCTTAGATGGATGCGTATTCAAATATTCTGCGGAGCAACTTTTCGACAAAACCTCACCTTCAGAGAAAGAGATGTAAACGATTTTTTTTTGTCCTGGGTAGCTCCCTCGCAGATCTTTGCGAAGGCGCAAGAGCTCATCGAACGGTGTCTATAATAATATTATTAAATTTCCCCTGATATTTATAATATTTAATTAGCTTTCTTTCAAACAAAAAAATTTAAGTCAGGAACAGCATTTAATGAAATTTAAAATTTCACCTCAAACCACATAATAGGACTTTTTTTTATTGATAAACAGTTCATAAGCGACAAGTGGCAAGTATTTCATGCATGTGTAGGACGAGAACAAATTAAAAATACATACAACAGGTACGTCCTGCATAAGGCCATCTATGATGACGGTCTGTAAAATTTAGACTTCAACTCGAAAATGAAGGTATTTGTGATAGGGACAGACATGTTACAGGCCACCCACGGATCGTTCAAAGAGTTGTAAGAATTAATGCTGAGAGCGTGGCATTCTCTATTCCCGAGGCAAGGAATTTATCGTTTCAAATCTGACCAGACGTGACTGCGTACTTGTACATCCCGCACAGCCAAACGGACGTCCCACATTGACAAGGGTTTCTATTTCTATTCCCCAGCCAAACTAGGGATATTTACGACCAGTGGCAAATGTTGCATTCATTTGCAAGACCAGAACAAATGTAGAATGCATTTGATAAGAATGTACTGTCAAATGGTGGATAATAATACAAAAACACCTCTTAAGCATTTTAATTTAACTATTTGTTCAATGATATAAACGAAGCTTTTTTAATTTTATCTATTTCACCAAATTTGTCAACAAAAGAAGAAGCATAAACCCAAGCTGGATAAGCGACAATGACTTGTAACATGCTACAGTACTTGCAACCTTAGGCGTTACTGTTTTAGCGATCAATCAGCGGTCATCGATCAGTCACCGATCAGTCAAGTTCGCGTCAAACTCACGTCACCAATCCGTCAGACTTATAGTAAAAGTATTTGACTGATCGGACGGATAGGACCGATCGACCTTTCTGACGGATTGAACTCTACTACGTCACATGATAAACTAATACAAATTACGAAATCTTAGTTTCGTTTCATTTAATTAAAATGGCGACATGGAAAATACGAAACATTCAAGTACAAATGATCAACATCTTTTTTTATTAATTATTTAGCACAGTTTTAAGAATTTAAAAAGAAAAGAAATATGCATATACAACTTAATTTAAATATTACTATTAAAGAATGGCCATTTTCGTTTTAATTTAGGTTATATTTTTTCAAACCCGGACATTTCTAAAACGGTGTTTATCGCGATTTACAGTGATTTTATTATTTTCCGAAAATGCTCTTGAAATGATCATTTATTCCAAATTTCGATGTATTATTTTTAAATATTTTTAAGTATTTTATCCTTATAATATTAAAACTCTTCAAACAAAATTATCTCGAGGCCATTAAAATAACAAATCACAAATCACAAATAAAAATAATAATGCTGCAAATTCTCTTAAAAATAAAAAATATTGATAATTTTAAACAACGAGAAAAACATTATAGTATATTTTTTCTGATAGTCTCCACACTTATTAAAAAAAATCAATCCTAAGCTATAAAAAGTACAAAAATCCAATGACGGTCAATAATTTCCATTCAAATAAAGGAATTATTGCATTCTATGTCAACAAAAACAAAAGTTTATGCATATCTATCCTTCTTTATTCATTTTTTATTAAAAATTAATTATCTAAAGGCATTTATAATGACTGATAGCAATTGCATTGCACTATTTCTGATATAAAAGAAGAAATATTTGTATTTTTATGCAATGCGAATATTAAATTTAGTATCTGATCCCTTAAATTCAACATATTTTATGAAATGCAACCAATCCTGATGTACAAAAAGTACTGAAATCAAATGGTGATTCATTATTTCTCTCAAAATGAAGATATTATTGCATTCATTTTGAAATCCAACAAAAGTTTAAGCCTTATTCTACTTACAATATTAAAATTCTTATAAAAAAAATAATTTTGAAGCCTTTGAAATAACTAGTTACAAATAACATTGCATTATTTTTTTAACAAAACAAGAGAAATTGGTAATTTTAACCAATGCGAACAACATTTTAGGATATTTTCTATGATCTTCTTTTACTTTTATGAAAAACAACCAATACTAAACTATGAAAAGTACAAACATCTAATGACAGTCAATAATTTCCATTCAAATAAAGAAATTATTGCATTCTTGTTCAACAAATACAAAAGTTAATGCATATTTATCCTTCATTTATTCACATTTTATTAAAAAAAAATTATATAAAGGCATTTATAATGACTGATAGCAATTGACGTTGCATTATTTCTGATATAAAAGAAGAAATATTTGTATTTTTAAGCAATGCGAACATTACATTAAGAATCTTTTCCCTTAAATTCAACATATTTTATGAAAAACAACACATCCTGAACCATAAAAAGTACAAAAAGCCATAGGCGTTCAATAATTTCCATTAAAAAAAAAGAAATTCTGGAATTCTTATTTAAAAAAAACAAAAGTTTATGTATAATTATCCTTAAATTATTCATATCTTAGATAAAAGTACTTATCTGGGTGCATTACTTATGACTGATTGCAATTGACGTTGTATTATTTCTGATATCAAAGAAGAAATATTTGCATTTTTAAGCAACGCAAACACAAATTTAATATCTTTTCCCTGCAATTCAGCATACTTTATGAAAAAAAAACAATCCTGATGTACAAGAAGAACCAAAATCAAATGCCGGTTCATAATTTCTATCAAAATGAAGAAATTATTGCATTCTTATCAAACAAAAACAAAAGTTTATGCATATTTATCCTTCAATGGTTCACATGTTATACAAAATTAGTTATCTAAAGGCATTTATAATGACTGATTTCAATTGAAGTTGCATTATTTCTGATAGAAAAGAAGAAATATTTGCATATTTAAGCAATGCGAACAAAAATTTAGTATCTTTTCCCTGAAATTCAGCATATTTTATGAAAAACAACCAATCCTGATGTACAAAAAGTACCTAAATCAAATGACGGTTCATAATTTCTGTCAAAATAAAGAAATTATTGCATTCGTATTCAACACAAAACAAAAGTTTAAGTATTATTCTCCTTACATTATCAAAATTCTCACAAAAATACTAAATCTTATTGGAGGACTTTAAAATAACTAGTTATAAATAACATTGCATATTTTTTTATCAAAAGAAGAAAAGAAAAATTGGTAATTTTAATCAACGAAACAACATTTAAGTATATTTTCTCAGATATTATTTTGATTTGATAAAAAACAACCAATCCTGAACCATAAAAAGTACAAAAAAACATAGGTGGTCAATAATTTCCATTAAAATAGAGAAATTATTGAATTCTTATTTAACAAAAACAAAAGTTTATGTATATTTATCCTTAAATTATTAATATCTTATACAAAAGTACTTATCTGAATGCATTAACTATGACTGATTGCAATTGGAAGTTGCATTATTTCTAATATAAAAGAAGAAATATTTGCAAATTTAAGCAATGCGAACAAAAATTTAGTATCTTTTCCCTGAAATTCAGCATATTTTATGAAAAACAACCAATCCTGATGTACAAAATGTACCGACATCAAATGACGGTTCATAATTCTTATCAATATAAAGAAATTATTGCATTCGTATACAACACAAAACAAAAGTTTAAGTATTATTCTCCTTACATTATCAAAATTCTTACAAAAAAAATCTTATTGGAGGACTTTGAAATAACAAGTTACAAATAACATTGCATTATTTTTTATCAAAAGAAGAAAAATTGGTAATTTTAATCAATGCGAACAACATTTTAGTATATTTTCTCAGATATTATTTTGATTTTATAAAAAACAACCAATCCTAAACCATAAAAAGTACAAAAAGCCATAGGCAGTCAATAATTTAAATTGAAATAGAGGAATTTTGAATTTTTATCAAACAAAAACAAAAGTTTATGTATATTTATCATTTTTATCAGTAAATTATTCATATCTTATACAAAAAAACTTATCTGAATGCATTAATTATGACTGATTGCAATTGATGTTGAATTATTTCTGATACAAAAGAAGACATATTTACATTTTCAAGCAACACAAACAAAAATTTCGTATCTTTTCCCTGAAATTCAGAATATTTTATGAAAAACAACCAATCCTGATGTACAAAAAAGAACCAAAATCAAATGATGGTTCATAATTTCTATCAAAATTAAGAAAGTATTGCTTTCTTATCTAACAAAAACAAAAGTTTATGCATATTTATCCTTCAATTATTCACATTTTATACAAAATTACTTATCTAAAGGTATTTATAATGACTGATTGCAATTGACGTTGCATTTTTTCTGATATCAAAGAAGAAATATTTGCATTTTTAAGCAATGCGAACAAAAATTTAGTATCTTTTCCTTGAAATTTAGCATATTTTATGAAAAACAACCAATCCTGATGTACAAAAAGTACCTAAATCAAATGACGGTTCATAATTTCCGTCAAAATAAAGAAATTATTGCATTCGTATTCAACACAAAACAAAAGTTTAAGTATTATTCTCCTTACATTATCAAAATTCTCACAAAAATACTAAATCTTATTGGAGGACTTTAAAATAACTAGTTATAAATAACATTGCATATTTTTTTATCAAAAGAAGAAAAGAAAAATTGGTAATTTTAATCAACGAAACAACATTTAAGTATATTTTCTCAGATATTATTTTGATTTGATAAAAAACAACCAATCCTGAACCATAAAAAGTACAAAAAGCCATAGGTGGTCAATAATTTCCATTAAAATAGAGAAATTATTGAATTCTTATTTAACAAAAACAAAAGTTAATGTATATTTTTCCATAAATTATTTATATCTTATACAAAAGTACTTATCTGAATGCATTAACTATGACTGATTGCAATTGAAGTTGCATTATTTCTAATATAAAAGAAGAAATATTTGCAAATTTAAGCAACGCGAACAAAAATTTAGTATCTTTTCCCTGAAATTCAGCATATTTTATGAAAAACAACCAATCCTGATGTACAATATGTACCGAAATCAAATGACGGTTCATAATTTCTATCAAAATAACACAAAACAAGAGTTTAAGTAAAATTCTCCTTACATTATCAAAATTCTTACAAAAAACATCTTATTGGAGAACTTTGAAATAACTAGTTACTAATAACATTGCATTATTTTTTATCAAAAGAAGAAAAATTGGTAATTTTAAACAATGCGAACAACATTTTAGTATATTTTCTCAGATATTATTTTGATTTTATAAAAAACAACCAATCCTGAACCATAAAAAGTACAAAAAACCATAGGCATTCCAATAATTTCCATTAAAAAAGAGAAATTTTTGAATTCTTATTTAATAAAAACAAAAGTGTATGTATATTTATCCTTAAATTATTCATATCTTATACAAAATTAATTATCTGAATGCATTAATTATGACTGATTGCAATTGACGTGCATTATTTCTGATATAAAAGAAGAAATATTTGCATTTTTAAGCAACTCGATCCAACATTTAGTATCTTTTTCCTGAAATTCAACATATTTTATGAAAAACGACCATTCCTGATGTATAAAAAAGAACAAAATAATGAAATGATTGCATCTTTAATCAACACAAATTAAAGTTTAAGTATTTTAATACTTATTTTTTTTTTAAATCCTATCAAAGAAACTTTTCTTGAGGCCTTTTAAATAACTAATTAGAAATAACATTGCATTATATGTTATAAGAAGAAGGAATATTGGTAATCTAGAACAAAAATTAAACAACACTCTAAATTAATTAATCCAAACAAAGCTGTATGTATCTTTACTGTTATACTATTTTTATTTTCATCATCTAACGACAACAAATAGAGTACTTATTTTAAATGATAACATTTTATCGCTTTTTAGTGGTACATAATTAACGAGTAAAGGTGTCTTCATAGAGGTCCGCGTTTATCGACTGTAAATACTGTGGAGTTCGTTTTACATAAGAATTTTAATTATATACGTATCCGTCCGATCCGTGCATACAATTAATTTACTGATCGATCGCTGACCGTTGTCACGGTAACTCTCACATAGCCTATTTGACGTATCTGACGGATTCTATGGGTCATCGATCACCGATCAGTCAAACATCCGTCACCGATCATTCATGCCGGTCGGAAGAAGACCTGTAGTGACCATATTTCTATTCCCAATCCACCGTTGGAGGCATTCCAATTGATTTTTATAGTTTGGTCTTATGTTGTACAGTTACACAACTGTACTAGATAGGATGGGGGGGATTGGGGGTTTGGCGCCAGCAAACATGTTTAATCCCACGCCTCATTCCAAAGTCAGTAACTTGTAATTCAGTTGTTGTCGTTTGTTGTAATAAATCATATTTGATTTTCGTTTATTATTTTAGACATAAATCAGGCCGTTAGTTTTTTCGTTTGAATCGTTTTATATTTGTCATATAGCTTACTATGCGGTATATATTTTGCTGATTGTTGAAGGCCGTATTGTAACCTGTAGTTGATAACTGCTATGACATGTTGTCGAAAGTGGAGAGTTGTCTCATTGGCAATCATACCATATCTTCAAATTATTACCTTAACACAAGACATCGTATTTCTGCATCGCATGCAACTAAACATACGCCTCACTTTGGCAATGTTGTTACTACCAGTCAGAAGAAGTTTTGATGACAATATTGTTAACCCAAAGTCAGTTTTTGAGATTATAAGATATCAGTGGTATTGTATTTTCTCTTTGAGTAATCATATAACATAATATTTGTAATAACTGATTATATTTTTAGTTTAAATATCAGTGGCTTAATCAGAAAGAGCACAAACTAAGAACAAATTGTATGGTCAACCCTGAAAAAGGGTCGACTAGTATAAATGGCTTTGAGATATTGTCAGCTTCAAAATAAGGGAATGGTGCATATGGTCAAAATTATTTCTTCGCAATAGGCAACAAAAGGATCCTCAAAACCGTTGTAAGGGTTAATATGCAGAAAGTTCTATAAGTGTAACTAATAAAACTCCCCAATCGTGATCTGATGTGGGTTTGTACATCCCACAGATGCACCTGAAGTCCCTTTCGGCGAAGCTACTTTGATGGAGAGATTTGTACCAATTTCTCTATCCTTGGATAGGAAGCCTCCTTGTTAAAAACTTATTCCCTACTAGATCTGTGCGTAACCGAAAGACATCATAATGTATATATTTATACTAGTATTTAAATATCCCTATTATGAAAAAAATACTAATGAAGAATATTTCATTAAACTAAATATTGAACTCCACGAACAACACAAAGCCTTTCAATATGGTCAGCTCATAAATGATCAATTGTTTAATTGTTGTTTGCTTAATACGTCCAGTTGCAAATATTTCGTTCATTTTCAAGACGGGAATGTGGTAAGAATACAACCAAAACGTTAGTTCTTTACAGTAAGGCAAAACCAAACAGAAGTCCCTCTATAGCATGGTACGTTGATCGTAGTTCTAGACAGTAATAAACTCGTATATGACTGCAATAATGCAACTTATTTCAAATCCACTCTTCTGTCCAATATCGCCCCAAGGGTGACCGGGGAATAGAAATATGGTTCTTCAGACTTGCAGTAAAAACCCGTTTTGCTCTGATGGATGTACAAGTATGCAGCCACGTCTAGTCAGAAAGGGGACATTAAATCCGATGCCTTGCGTAGAAGGATTGCAACGTTCTCTACAACTCTTTGAGGGGTTAAGGGTTGCCAGTTACAAGGCAAACTGTTCCTTACCAATATACCCTCATTTTCCAGTAGCAGTCTTAATTTTTCCAGACGTTTTTTCCGGATGACCTCTTTTAAAGGACCTGCCTATTGTATTTATTTTCAATTGTTTTCGTCCGCAACATGCATGAAATATTTGCCACTGGACGTTAAGCAACCAACAATCAAAAAATAAAACAATCCAGTATCTTTTCTGTGTTTCTACTTTTATTCATTGTGTTCAAGTTTTCCCAGTGTCTTGTGGTTTTTTATCAGTTGGCTCTATGATTTCCGTAGAAAAAAACAGAAAGACAATAAATGTTATCCCCAACGGTGACTGGGTAAAAGAAATATGGTCACTTCAGGTCTTTCCCGACCGACCGACCGACCGACTGTGCGAGAGGTATCAAGTACGCAGCCACGTGCGGTCAGAATTAGGACTTTAAATCCGATGCGTCGTGTAGACGCTCTCTGCACGTTAAGACAACGCTTTGAAGGGTCCGCGGTGGACTGTTGCAAGGCAAAATGTCTGTCCCTACAACATACCCTCGTTTTCCAATTGGCAGTCCAAATTTCCCGACCTGCAACCCAGTTGACCTCTTTTTCCGGACCTACCTATTGTAATTATTGTTAATTTGTTCTCGTCCTGAACATACATGAAATATTTGCCACTGGACGTCAAGCAACCGACAATCTATCAATCAATCAATTCGTATGTTATTCTTAAAAACAAGAATGTGTCAATAGTACACGGAAGCCCCACTCGCACTTTCATTTTCCGTGTTCAGTGGACCGTGAAATTGGGGGTAAAAACTCTAATTTGGCATTAAAATAAGAAAGATCATATCATCAGGAACATGTGTACTAAGTTTCAAGTTGATTGGACTTCCACTTCATCAAAAACTACCTTGACCAAAAACTTTAACATGAAGCGGGACAGACGGACGACCGGACGCACAGACCGAAAAACAAAATAAATATCTTTTCCCAAAACAGGACGAAAAATATATTCTACAAAAAAGTTAATATTAGCGCGTCTAGGCCGCACAATAGTAATAAGCATGTGTAGCAACCGATGAAATAAAATCAATCCTCAAAAAATCCTTTAAAGTTTGGGGTTGTGAAAGATTTGATATAGTGTACACATCAACAAAATATTTTTCAACTTTCAATCTCTTTAAATCGTTAACTGCATTATATTTTTTAACCAATTATGTTTTAAAATAATAAATTCGATGCATCATTTTCTATTTCAGAAAATTTATCAACCACAAAAGAATCATTCACTCAAGCTCAAACACCTGTCAAATACAACCTTCCTGTTTCTGTCACTTTGCGTCAACAGTTCAATATCAAAAAGTCAAAGAATGGAAATCCGGACATTTCTAGCTGTATCAAAACAGACAATACATTAGTGTTTACCGACTATAGTAATAACCAACTTATTATTTGTGATTCAGACGGTACTGATATCCATCACATTCCTCTGTCCTATAAACCATGGTATATGACAGTGGTAAATAGTAATACTGTAGCAGTATCCTTTAGAGATGACAGTACCATACTGATAATAAATATATCTACATGTTCTGTCACCAGTACAATCAACACCAGTGGTCGCTGCTACGGAATGACTTATAATGATAATAACCTGTACGTTGTTATTGATCTGAGTATAATACATGTGATGGACCTGACAGGTAAAGTAATACGTACTATACCTTTACCTTCATACGGTATCCACGACATTACAGTAGACAGAGACAGGTTAGTCTGTATAGACACTACATCAATATACTGCTGCTCGTTAGATGGTAAACTAATTTGGAAGTTAAAAAAGTATGAATTTCAAGATTTACGTCGTGTGACAACAGATAATGAGGGGAATGTCTTTGAAACTTGTTTTAACACCAACACAGTAATAGTTGTATCAGACGATGGCAAACATCACAGAGAACTTCTCACTAGATCGGATGGACTGGATAAGCCGTGGGGAATTTATTTTGACAAAAAAGAAAATATTCTGCTTGTTTGTAATTATCGTGACGGACAGGCTTTTCTTTTTGACGTAAAACAGAAAGCAACATAAATAAACATGAATAATTCTTTCAGACAATGAGTTTATTCGGGCACGGATCTGTTTGTGCATTTTGTCATATAAAGTAACTTCTCTTTATTTTTATTTTCTATACTATCAATTACTGATTGTCATGATCTGTGCAGTTGTATTCTGTATTCAAAGTAAGGACAATATTAACAATTTATTATGTTCATGTTTTTTGTGATTAACTCTTTTTATTTTAATGTGTGACAACACATCAACTTTATATTGAAATTTAGAGAAATGTTACAAAGACATGTTGTTCTTTGATTCACGTTAATTTAGGGTTTGATAGTTGGAGAAAAAATTATAATTCAAGTTATATATCATCACATCTTTCAAAACCACATATAAATTGTTTAAGACAATTATTCGAAATATAGACATTCTCTTTACGGATGTGTAGGTTGTAAATAAAATCTTTACAAATTTAAAATTGTATTGTGTCGTTGGGATGCTGTCTTTTTCCTTCATTGCTAATCCATCTGCTTCTTTCACCCCGGTAGTCTTACATGTAGATTTTAAATACAAATAATTCAGATATATACATCGTTTATTTGTTCTCATCCTGAACATGTATAATATATTTGCCACTGTACGATACACAACCAACAGATAAACCAATTAATTATTTTATTCATACCAAACTATATAACATTTTTTAAGTTTATCAATGTGTTTATTTCTTAATTTGATGACAGTTTTTTTTTGGTTTAAATTGATGTTAATCGAGTACAAATAACATATGGTCTAACAACCATACAGACTGATATGACTGTGTTCCAATAACTTTGTATCCTACAACAAGTTAAATTTCCATTGAAAACAAAATTACGGAAAGATTATGATTAATTTTGAAAATGTAACTTGGATCATCTAGGCTGTTGTATTTGAATAATGTGGTTCGAATATTATGGTTTCCGCATTTTTAAAACATTTGAACATTCAATTGTTCTATATAATTCAATATGGAAAATCAAAAAAAATTTCCGAGTAAGAAACAATGTCATGAATGTACATGCTCTTTATCTTTTATATATAATTCACACTCTTATGAGAAGGATGTTATCCAGAAAAATGTTATCAGGCGTTTTCATCTAGATAAAAAATTCTTACGTAATTAAATGCATTGAATTCGCCGTTTGGAATTAATTTTATCATGTAAGAAAATATTCTGCTTGTTTGTAATAGAGATAACGGAAATCTTTTTCATTTACGTGATAAAGAAACTTGCATAAATGAACTTAAATTATTTCATTCGAATTCGGATGTGTTTTAGCATTAAGTCATTCTAAATGGATTTTATTTGTTTGTGTGCTATCTACCAAATACAAATTCAATTTAACCAATTATGATTCATTTTACAAAATTACTACCTTGCTTTCTTATAAGTTATTCCGTATTCCGATATTATTTAAGTATATTTTTATGTGTATGCGTTATATTATCACCGCTGAAATTTTATGTACGACAACAAAACAATTATGTTTATGAAATGGTAGAGAAATTTTGCTTAGACCCAAAAATTGTTGTTCTTTCTTTACTTCTATTTGACGGTTAGGTTGTGATGGTTGGTGAAAACTCACAATATATTTCAGAGAAGCTTTTGGAAACCGACAAAAGTAGTTTTATGTACATACTATTAACTTGACTCGTTTAGAACTTTGTTATGTGTTGTATGCTTCTTGTGAACATATAATGTTCGCATTTTATCCCGTCGGGGTTTGATTTTTGCAATAAAGATTATTAGTTAAATTTTAATCATATGTATGTCCTCTATTTTATTCTGTCCTCGAAATAAAAAGATTATATACGGATGTTAAGCAAATAGAACAACTTTAAAATTTTCATATATCACTTCCATTCTCCAGTTTATAGCCTAAATAAGATCAACAACAACCCCACCCCACCTCCAGTCCGTTCCAGTAGACTTTAATATACGTATTACATCAATTTCTTATTCGTATGGTCCTTAATATGAGGGAGAGTTTTGCCACTGTACAATTAATATTTATCACTGGACGTTATTGAACCAACCATTAATATTTCACGTCCTAACGAAAATGAAGGTCAGGGCAAGAAAGCCCAAGGGGTATACATCAATGACACCATACGCAAACGAAATGAAAGATGTGAAAATATACGTCAATGAGAAAGTACCCTAACGGCACTAATTATATTAAAAAAATCTACGTCATTATGCATTTCTCCAAGGACATAAAACAAAAGATGTGACATGTGTGAATGAGACAGTAACCAAACGACACAAAGAAACAAAAAAGGTGTGTCATATTCGCCAAGGACACAGTACTCAAACGAAAAAAAAAAAAAGAAGATGCGGAAAAACGTCAAAGAGACTTACGACTCATATAATGAAAAAAAGGTATGGCATTAGAGATGCAACCTTAACGACACAAGTACTAAAGAAAGATGTGGTGTCCGTTTGGCTGTGAGGGATGGATCAAGTACGCAGCCAGCCACGTCCAGACAGAATGAAGACGTTAAATCCGATGCCTAGTGTAGAGAGAGTGCAACGCTCTTTGAACGTTAAGAACCCTTGCAACAACTCTTTGTTCGTAGGTGGCCTTTTGCAATGCTAAATTTCTGTCCCTCTTCAATATACCCTCATTTTCCCGCGGTATTCTAAATTGTCCCGACCTTCATCCCGGACAGCCTCTATTGTAATACCTACCTATTGAAGTTATTGTTAACTTCTCGTTTTGAACAAGCATGAAATATTTGCCATTGGGCATTAAGCAACCAACAATCAATCGGGACTACCAGTAAAAAACGATACTCTAATATTGAATAATTAATGAACGAAACAAGTCTTTGTTTTTAATTTTACAATGTCTGGTGTAACAATTTAAATTTCTGAAACAAAGAAAGAAAACTAGAAAGCCGGACCATTATGCCTTTTGTATATATTATGAACAATATTTCCATATAACGCGATGGTCATTTGCTAATCAACTTTGAATCGTAGATCTGATAAATAACTGACATCGATTTGTCACTGAATGACACCCAAAAGGGTGACTAAGGAATATAAATATGGTCACTGCAGGTTTTCTTACATTAGGCTGTACTACTCTTGCCAAATTGGGTGTCCGTTTGGCTGTGGTGGATGTACAAGTACGCAGCCACGTCCGGTCGGAATGGGGACGTTAATTCATATACCTCTTGAAAAAAGAGTGCTACACACACTACGATAAGAACCGTTGAAACAACTCTTTGATAGGACCGTAGGTGGCCTGTTGCAATGCGAAATGTCTGTCCCATATCCCCTCATTTTTCAGTGGCTGTGTAAATTTTCCCGACCCTCATCCCGGACAACCTCTATTAAAGGACCTACCTTTTGAATTTACTGTTAATTTGTTCTCTTCCTGAATATACATGAAATATATGCCACTGGACGTTTAGCGATCAATAATCAATCATATCACTGTGTGCCCAGTTGTTCATAGGATTATTATAAAATTTTACGTTAATATTACTGAAAAAAACACAAATTACGGAAATGTGAATATCTTTTTACTGATTGCACTCAATGGAGTTGGCATCTATGCAGTCGGGATATATTGACTGCCACTGGAAAATGAGGGTGAATAGGGACAGAAATTTTGCCTTGCAACAAGCCACCTACGGACCGCTCAAAGAAATGTTGCAAGGGTTCTAAACGTGCAGAGAGCATGCTGCTCTCTCGACATGAGGCATCATATTTAACGTCCCCATTCTGATCGGACGTGGCTGCGTACTTGTCATCCCGCACAGTTAAACGACGCCCCACTGTGGCAAGGTATTTTTCTGCCGGTCGGAAGAAACATGTACTGTCCATATTTCTATTCCCCACTCTTCCTTCGAATATATATATAAGTATGTCTGATCCAGTGATAACTCTACGACAGATTTTATCCATCGGATCACCAGTGATGGTGATACAAGGCTGAAAACACATTCTGTATATGTAATTCGTCTACATAACAGCCCAACAATAATATATCTGTAAATATATATATACGTCAATGAATCAAAACTCAAACGACTCAAATAACTGAAACAAAGTGTAGATAAATAACAAATTAAAATGTGTCAAATATGTCGAAGAAACAGTACTCTAGCGACAATACTAAAAAAATATATGTGACATAGACGTTAACGAGACAGTATCCGGCGAAACAAATTATAGAAATATGTCGCATAAACCCTAATGACATAATACTCCAACATCGCAAATAATAAAAAAAAACGTGTGTCATTTTCGTCAATAAAAAAGTATCTGTACATTAAAAATAGTGGAACAAGTTGTACATCAACAAGACAGAATCATCACAAAGCCAAACAGTGAATGAGACAAGAGAAGCAAATATTGCATATACGCTAGAGAAAGATTGATTGATTGATTGTTGGTTGCTTAACGTCCAGTGGCAAATATTTCATGCATATTCAGGACGAGAACAAATTAACACTGAATACAATAGGTAGGTTCTGTATTAGGGGCTTTCGGGATTACGGTCGGAGAAATTTAGACTGCCACGGGAAATGAGGGTATATTGGATAGGGACAGAAATTTAGCCTTACAACAGGTCACCTACGGACCCCTCAAAGAGTTGTTTCAAGGGTTCTTAACGTGCAAAGAGCGTGGCACTCTCTTTACACGAGTCATCGGATTCAACGTCCCCATTCTGACCGGACGTGGCTGCAAATTTGTACATCCCGCACAACCAAACGGACGCCCCACTTTAGCAAGGGTTTTACTGCCGGTCGGAGGAAGACCAATGGTGACCATACTTCTATTCCCCAGTCACCCTTGGGGACGCTAGAGAAAGAGTACCCCAACCACAAAAATAATAAAAAGAGGTTGCATATACGCAGTAAGACGGAACTCCAATGAAACAAATAATTTGAAAAAAAATTGTGTCACATACGTTAATGAGACAGTAAACCAACGACACTAATAATAAAAAGCTGTGGCATTTTCGCCAACGTGAAAGTACACTAACGACGCAAGTAGTTAAATAATGTGGCATTAACGAAAATCAGACATAACTCCAACAACAGTAAAATGGTGTGGCATATACTTCTATAAGACTCAAACGACACAAATGATAAAAACAATGTTGTGGCATATACTTCTATAAGACTCAAACGACACAAATAATGAAAACAATGTTGTGGCATATATGTGTTTAATAAATATGTTCATATCCGTCGAGGATACAGTAAAGTAGGACAAAAATAATAATCAAAGATGTGGCATATTTGACAAGGAAACCGAACTCCAACGAAACACATAATGAAAAAATGTGTCATACAACGTCCATGATAAAACAAAAGATGTGGCATCTACGTCAATGAGAGAGTACCCTTACACAGCAAATTGTGAAAAAGTCTTGTGTGTCATCAAGGCAGTATCATAACAACGCAAATAATGTAAACGGCATATTCCTCAGAAAGACAGAACCCTTACGACGCGAATACAAAAGAGATGTGACATTTACGTCAGGGAAACCATACCAAAACTACAAATATCTTAAAAGAGCGCATTTGTCATATACGTCAATAACACAATACACTGACGACATCAATAATAAAACAAACAATATATAGATTAGACCGTTGGTTTTCCTTCTTGAATTGTTTTACACAAGTAATGTAATGAATAGAAGTATGGTCACTACAGGTCTTCTTCCGACCGGCAGTAAAGCCCTTGCCAAATTGGGGCGTCCGTTCGGCTGTCCGGGATGTATCAAGTACGCAGCCACGTCCAGTCAGAATGGGGACGTTAAATCCGATGTTTCGTGTAAAGAGAGTGCCACGCTCTCAGCACGTTAAGAACCCTTGCAACAACTCTTTGAGGGGTCCGTAGGTGGCCTGTTGCAAGGCTAAATTTCTTTCCCTATCCAATTTACCCTCATTTTTCAGTGGTAGTCTAAATTTCCCGACCTTCATCCCGGCTGGCCTCTGTTACAGGACCTACCTATTGTATGTATTGTTAATTTGTTCTTGTCCTGAACATGCATGAAATATTTGCCACTGGACGTTAAGCAACCAACCAACAATCAATCAATCATTACATTGTGACATATACGTCAATTAAAAATATTCTTACAAAGCAAATAGTGAAAAATGTGTGTTATGAATAAATAAAGCAGTTTCCTAACATCGCGAATAATGGGAAATATGGCTTATGAATAAACGAGGCAGTACCCTTACAACGTAAAAAGTAAAAAAGGTGGCTTATGTATAAATAAAGCAGTATCCTAACATCGCGAATAGTGGAAATTGTAGCTTATGAATACTAGTAAATAAGGCAGTATCCTTACAACGTAAATAGTTTAAAAGGTGGCTTATGAATAAATATGGCAATATCCTTACAACGTAAATAGTAAGAAGGCGGCTTATGAATAAATAAGGTTGTATCCTTACAACGTAAATAGTGAAAAAGGTGGCGCATGAATAAATAAGGCAGCATCCTTACAACGTACAAAGTGAAAAAGGTGGCTTGTGAATAAATAAGGCAGTATCCTTACAACGTAAATAGTGAAAAAGGTAGGTGGCTAATGAATTAATAAGGCAATATTCTTACAACGTAAATAGAATAGTGAAAAAGGTGACTTATGAAAAAGTAAGGTTGTATCCTTACAACGTAAATAGTGAAAACATATGGCTAATGAATAAATAAGACAGTATCCATACAACGTAAATAGTGAAAAATGTGGTTATGAATAAATAAGGCAGTATCCTTACAACGTTAAAAG